GATACACCACCATATTGAAAAAAAATGATTAAGAAAACTATTTTCATTTTTCACTAAACTAGTTTTTTTTGCAGTAAATGATTATATGACTTTCTAAAACTTGGACCTAAAATTGTTTTTGAAAGCGTCTTTATAATTAATTTGTTTTCAATCAAATAAAACAAAGATAGAAACTTCATTATATGGATTAAAATGTTGATTATTTTAATTCAACTCACTAACAAACAAAAAAAGAACTAACAAAAAGTCAATATTTCAAGGAATTATGATGTTAATGTCGATGAATGTATGAATGCAATCTGTGGGTCGCGGGTTCACATCCACGTCCCACCAGACATGCTCGCCCTTTCAGCCGTGGGGGCATTATAATGTGACGGTCCATCCCACTATTCGTTGGTAAGAGAGTAGCCCAAGAGTTGGCGGTGGGTGGTGATGACTAGTTGCCTGCTCTCTAGTCTTACACTGCTAAATTACGGACGGCTAGCGCAGATAGCCCTCGTGTAGCTTTGTGCGAAATTCAAAACAAACAAACAATAAATGTATTCTAGAAAATAAACGCTTCAATTAAAGAAGTAAAAATTATATTTTATTTATCTACGAATAAACAAGTAAATACGTTTAAAACCTCTTTTCGTTTTATGAAACATAACGTTTCATTAGGTTTACTTAACATTGTCAGATGGCAAGCGTTGTATTGAATCTTACAATAGTTAAAACTGCCACGTGTATCAAATTAATGTTGAAACTGTGATAGTTCTTACATAGGAGAAACTAACTGACAGCTTTCAACAAAATTGAAAGAACATTTCAAAGCTCTCTGTCATCTATCTGAACACATGGTTAAACATTGTCACTCATTTGATTTTTGACAAAATATATATATATATATATATATATAAATCGTAGAAAAACTAAAGACACTCTCTTTACCAAAAATTAACATCAATAAATATACAGGTGTACTTTGATATTTATTATTATTTTTGTTTTCCTTACTTAGCTGTTGTTGATTTATATTCCATTATTGTTTAATGACGTCATATCATCCTGATATTACTTTGCGATTCTATTCAAAGCTTGCCATATGGCGTGGGTTTCCTCTGTGGTACGGTTCTGAATATGGAGATGCTAATCCAAACTCGAATCAGTGCGATACCACAAACATTTCCCCGCTCTTTAGGCTTTGGATGAGCTAGAAGAGTGTAAGTTCATACCTTAGCATGGACGGTGTTGTTGACTGTCTGCTTTCCCTCTGGTCAGTAATTCAAAGTTAAGAACGGCAGCAGGTAACCTTAGTAGCTTTGCCATAAATTCAAAGTAGAAATATAAGCTTGCCATCTAGGTAAATCTGATTGCGAGTCGAGTGCCCTAACAACCAGACCTGCTCAAAAGCAGCTTTTATTTTTGGCAAAGCTACTAAGTGTACCCGCCGCCGTCCCTCATTTTGAACTATCGATCAGATAGAAAGCAACCGATCTTGAGCAACTCTTGTGAACGAATAGTAGGATTGACTGTGACGATGTCTAGGTTAATCATGTTTTAGGCTCTGACTATCAATAGAAAAGCCTCTAATTATCGTTAGGAGGGTCTGTATACAATAAGTGACAAAATCCAAACACTCTTATTTAAAATCGAAAAATAATATTAAACGTTTTTTGAGCATAAACATGTATAATACCAGTGCTGTAGCCACAAGGAGGCTCTTTCAGTCCAATGATATTAAGTTTATAAAGAAGAGTCTCTAATAGCAAATTGACAAGAATAGCATTTAATAGCATATGGACAAGAAGAATCCCTGATAGTAAATTAGTAAGAGGGCTCCTGGATAGTAAATGGACAAAAGAGGCCCTTGATTAATAAATTGTCAGATATTCGCTCCTCTACTACACGGTTGTAATGCATGTAGTATAGATGTACCGAATGTGTGTAAGTGTGAAAAGTACTTGTCTGAAAGACTTTTCGTTCGGCGCTTCAGTTGGGCTCCAAAATGAGAGACAAAAGTTTCCCTGAAACGCTATTTACGTACTCAGTAACATTCTTTAAAAGTTACTGTTAAATTTTGAAAACTGGTGAAGCATAAAAAAAGTAATAGACCTAAAATTTAGAATAAAAATCGCATATATTATCATTATTTTTTACCACATTCCTAAGTTTTCTGTTTTGCTGGTTATCTGCCAGATACCACATACACAACAGGGTCATAATATATTGTTCAAACGTTGCTCTTTCATTAGGCTGGTTCTTTTAATTTATTATGTGTTTGTTTGTTTTTGAATTTCGCGCAAAGCTGCACGAGGGCTATCTGCGCTAGCCGTCCCGAATTTAGCAGTGTAAGACAAGAGAGAAGGCAGCTAGTCATCACCACCCACCGCCAACTCTTTAGCTATAGTGGGATTGACCGTCACATTATAACGCCCACACGGCTGAAAGGGCGAGCATGTTTGGTGTGACAGGGATTCGAACCTGTGACCCCCAGATTGCGAATCTAGTGCCTTAACCACCTGGCCATGCCGGGCCCGTTTATTATGTGAACATAATAAACATAATGTCAAGTCAAGTTCACGTATCAACAACAAATTAGTTTATTTCTTTCTTGACGTTTCTATAGGAAGCCTTCACTTGGTGTACACTGCTGTAACGTGTAGGCCTAAGTTTACAAATGTCGTGCAAACGGTAATACCTCGCTAACGTAAAAATAAAATGTACACGCTAATCATATCGAATAAACGTAATAACTAAAAAAATATCTTAATACTTCACTGACTTATACTTATAACCTGCTCTCGTCTCTTGATACTCCCTTAATTTACTAGATTCTTGACGTTAAAGGCAAACTTTATATGTATTCTAGTAATACTTTAGCGTCATGCGCCCTCTGGCCAAAATCTAAATTGAAACGTTATGAAACTTTGTCAATATGTCAATGGTGCTACTAAGTCTCGTATTTTTAAGCACATTATTTAACATATTGCTATGAATACTTTTAATCTTTACACTCACTCAGTGAGCAGATTTCGGTGTTGCTACCTTGATATATTAGAGGAATGCTGCTAAGATATGCAGGGGCAGGGATTGCAAATGCTATCCTCCAGACTGTATTATGCAATCTTTGTTGTAAATGAGTCACTTTCTTGATATCCACAACTGTTTACATAAGATAGAAGTTGACGTATGCGGCGCTTTTCTTAATTAAACGAGAAAAACAAACAAACAAGCAAACAAAAACAATATAAACATATAATATATTTTAATGATTCATTGGCTTGGCATAAATGTTTAATGTCATAAGTTTATTTCATTGGGATTGTTAAATATAAATTATATACTTAATGATGATTCTTTGAAAGATTTTAACTTCAATAATGTCATTAAACTTATGAAAGGTGAAAGAAGCTTGATCAAAACCTTATTAACCCAAATATAGACAATCTGTAGTTAAATCACATTTACAGATAAGACTGAATGCCTAACACCTACTGAAGAAGCTGAACGATCGCCTAACGGTCGACCTTTGCTGTTTAGCGTAGGATTTCTTCATCCTACATCTTATAACTATGCCTACTCGCGTGACTGCTATTTACATCGTACGGTTAATGAATAATATTCCTGCGTTTTTGAATCAGAGTGGGAAACTAATAAGTATATAATTCTAAACAGTTTGTGAGTAATCATGCTTATCTTTTAGTGTTTTAACATTTTGACAGTATTCTATGTTATGGTTTTGCATTTTATTTGCTGAGGTATGCTGAATTATATATGTATAACCCTTCAGGGGAAACATTTTCAGCTTAATTACTTTGTTTTTTTTATTTTATTTTTGCATCACTGGAAACAGTTGATCATAAAATAAAAAGGTTAATAGTTTTCTCACATATTGTTTGTTCTGTTCGTGGTTAAACCAACAAACAAATAAACTAAACAATGGGATATGTGTTTTCCGGTGGGTCAGCGGTGAGTCTACAGTGTTACAGCACAAAAATCCAGAGTTGATTCTTTGCAGTGGACAGTGTGCAGACAGTCCATTGTGTTGCTTTACTCTGAGAAAACAACAGCGTTATAAGTTCTCAAGTTTATCGTTGTACCACCGGGGGCCAATATAACAGCACAGGACGTAACAAAGCCTGATCTTTAGAAATTTGGCATGAATAATGTTTTTCAGTAGTAGTATTTTTTCATGAAATATTAATCATGCAACTTGTATAACTTCTTTGTGATACTCCTTCTTTGCATAGTTTGAAAGCTCCAACTGGAAATCCTACTAATTTTACCAGAAGTAACAAAAACGTGAACATCCATAAATAATAAAATATATCTTAGAAAATGACCATAATTGGTAAGTGATTACTGTGTAAACATACCTTGCGTACCACATCTAACCTTTCTTTTTTTCATGCAATTTTAGGTCTAAAAAATTGAAGATGGATTTGTATGATGATTTTTAATGATGTTAGCAGTAAATATTTAGGTCTTACTTCTTGACTTTGTGGATGTAAACATTTTATTGACAAATTACTAATGAATAACACAAAAGGGCAAATACGGCAGTAAAAATAACAAATAAATTAAATTTTCAGATGGAGTATCTTAACGAGGATTGAATTGAAGTATCTAACTGCTTAAAATGTTTAACCTCATATATATTTAATGCTATAAATCACGAAGGATGAAATTGAAAAAAAAAGAAAAAAAAGATAAATCACGAGACACAGGAAACCTAAGTACTTTCGGCAGGTAAATCTTCCTTCTTTTAGTTGCGTACTTTTTGATTTTTCTGATGTTCTTAGGCTAGAGGGTGGTTTATTGCTTTGTGAGGTGCAGATAGTTATATATAGATAAGTAATATTGTGAACACCTGAATAATTTAATCAGCGTCACATCTACAGCTCAGGAATCATGATTGATGAAATCTATGCACGTGACTCCAAATCATAAAATAAAAAAAAAATAGTTTCTTGATGACATTATTATGTGCAATAGCAACACGAATGTAATTTTTCTTTGCACCACACTATTTTATTGCCGATTCTTAATTTAAAATATCCCGTTTTTGACAATTAAGTATTTTCTACAACAGACATTTATTTTAGTTGTTCATTCCTCAGACGTCGTTACTCCACCTCTTCTCAAAAGAAACGGAAATCTTTGACCAACAACGTTAATTTCGGCTAGCGTGAGTGAGATTGAATCTAGGCTAACTGGTCGGTTGAAGTTAAACTTAAAGCGGCACTGAAGAAAGAGAGGTGCAGTTGGAACTTGGAGTAGTCGTTTCTTGCATAGAATTAGAAGGTACTGTCGCTGAAGGAAGGAACAGGTGAGTGCATGTATGACATTTTGATAGTTAATTCGAATATCATTATTAAAATGCTGCTTTATATATGCTTCTAAAATTGCCATGTCCATCGGTCGCTCACACTCACATTATTCAAAATTCCATTTCGTTAGGCCTAAACCTGTTTAACTCGGTTACTTTGAATTTGACACCTGTCTAATTTTCTGTTATTATTAGTATAACATTTGAATTAAACTGCTGTGTTCCTGTCTCAAAGAATCAGCGTCTTACGAAATTGGTGAATCTTCTGTTCGATAATTTCTTTGACGCTGTGAGGAAATATTTAAATTATATTAATAATGATATGGTACGTCTGTTTTCTCTCTCATATCGAGTCTTAAGAGTAAGACTGAGAATGAGACTTAGGTACAGCCTTACAAACGTTCATTTTCGGCAAATTACGTATATCATGACTGTTATTATACTTAATTTTAAATATACATAAGGTGTTAGCTGAAATATAATTTAAACTGTTAAAATTACAGTGTGACAGTTGAGAAAATAAGCCAATTGTAGAAGTGTAATATATAGTATTAATTTTTATCAAATTGGTTAAATAAATTTCTGTACAATGTCAGTGTAAGAAATGTTACGATATTTTACTATAACTTATTTTAGGGCTGTGTTGGAAGGATTAAGCCTTCAAAGTCTTGTTCCCTATCTAGGATTTAAAGTTGAAACTTGAAGATAGTTCAAAGGTTTGCGAGTTGGCATTCAAGCAGTGTTAGAGTTTTATTTTTTTCTTGTGAACAGAAACTGTTTGACATTGTTAAATAATAACCACACATTAAATGTCACTCACATGGGAAAATTCATTATTTTGATTCGTATGATGCCTATTACCACAAAAATGTTACACATAACCATTCCCTCTATGCAGACCATTATGGGGATGGGGTGGGGAATATGTCTAGCAGTTTTATAGCTTAAATAAAGTGTATAAGATTTAAGAGAAGTCTTATATTAGAATAAGTATGAAACATAAAATGAATGCTAACACTAATAATTTTAACGTGAAACCTCTTCCCCAAGACAAATGTTTAGTTAATTAACTGTTTTTTAAGGTATTTCTAGCCCATTTTTTCATCCTATTTTGAAAAATAGATATTTGCTACTTTAAAATGTCTACTTTCAGTGTCTACAACACATTTTGTCAAACACCCCCACACATCTCTCAAAAATGGTATTGAAAATTGTAATCTTGAACTGAAAATTAAAATCTTTCCATAGCAACCACCCTAGCAATGGAACTCATGGCAACTTGCAACCTCTTTGGTGGTAATTTTCTCAATAAAGTGGAAAATACTGCAGGGAATAAACTAAATCACAGGTTGTAAAAATGTACAGCTTAACTATAAGAGGTCTGTAACTGGAGGGTTGATTTGTAGTGTTGAAAATAAATTAGTTTTATGTTTTTCTTTTCTTCTGTGATAGTCTGACGTTTGTGTTGTTAGATTTATGTGTTTCCTCTCTTCTGCAGCTTTAAATTGATGTATAAATTAGTTGGGTAGTATTATTAGTTTTCTTTTGTGTTTGAAGATAATCTGAATCCGAGTTCATTAATATGCACATACTAATGAAATAATTTGCATAATTAATTGGAAGTGAATTGTTTTCTTTTACTTTCCAGTTCGTCAAAATTTGAGGTCCTTAGTTTGTCCTATGGTCCAAAACTATACATAAACACCTTTAGATGTATATAGAATTATACATGGACTGTTCTCTACATTGTTATGAGCTTTTGGCTTTCTTACCGGAGACATCATTTGCTAAGGCAAATGTCATAGAAATAGTAAAATAATCACATTGCTGCTTTACTGGATAAAGCCAGTGTGGAACAGAAGTTAATACTTCCAAGTGAAGTGCAGTGGAATACATTTTGTGGTTGTTTGGAAGTGTACATTCAAAGTTGGTCAACATTAATGACAATATCTGAAAAAAAATCATGACAGACAGTAACATACAAAATCTGGTCATGAATGTGGGCCTCAAATGAAACTTTGAAGACTAACTAAATAGAATCAAGCCCATCTCTGTTACCGCAGATAGGGTTCAGCAAACTTAATTCAACCCCGATATCAAGGAATTTAGTTAATATCGGAGGTAGTGCAATCTGTTACGAACTGTTGCAAACACCTATAAAAAAACCAAAAAAAAACATCATGTAACTATATTCAACCTTTATTAAATACAGAGGTCCAGCACTTCCTTTCAACAAATTGTTTACTACAGAAAATGTTCTTAATTGGGAACTGAGAAGGTAGCTAAACTTTTATTTTATTTAAAGGCTTTGAACATTCCGAAAGGAATCATTAAGTATAAAACAGCCACTATACTTAGATAATAAAATTATTTAAAGAGAAAATAAATCTTTTTAACATGAAGATCTTGCAATTAAATCAAAGTATTAAAAAATTGATTTGAATATTTAAAAAAAGTCTTTTTTTTTCTCACCCTGCAGGTTACTACTAAGTAAATACTTGGTTATGAGTTAGTTACTTGCTTTCTTCAAGTCTAATGATGTACTGATGAATGGTATTGTTTCAATGAGGTTATGATATATTACTGGGTATATCATGATACATTCTGAAAAACCTGGTTTTAAGTAAAGTTTTTTAAATAATCACTATCACTATCTTTGGGTTATCAGTTAATAGATTTTTGGATGAACTACTACTGAGAGCAGGAACTATTTCATCAAGATATTGTGAATGAGGTGAATATGTAATATAGAACAAAAATGGCAAATGCTTACAAATGTCCCAACAGTTTACAAATTAAAATGATGGAAAAAATGAAAGTAAATTGTTTTGTTTTTTTTTTTTTTTTTGTGTCTAAATTTTTGATGTTTTGTTTGAAATATATTTACTCCTCAAAGTATGTGAGTGCTATTTTCATTGCTAAATTAGAGATGGCTAGCACAGATAACCCTCATGTAGTTTTGCATGAAATTCAAAACAAAGAAAACTTCATAAAATATATATTCTATCATCAGAATCATCTTATATTGCCACTTCTCTGAACAGTTTCCATAAAACTTGTGTATTAGTAAGTTTTCTGCAGAGTATACATATTTACCCAGGATGGCGTTGCAACGTCGAAACATGTAGAGTCGTCAACTTTTTGAAGGCCATAGATAGGCCTAAATAAAATGTTTTTAATTGTGTACCAATTTTAACGTTGAATAATATTTATGATTTTAGGCCTCGGGTTTTTTGATTCAAATAAATGATATATTTGTTACATAAAATGATAGGAAGAAGAATGACTTTTTTAGTTTAACCAGTTGACTTACCAATTCAATGTAGAAGAAAGACATGGCAGTGGTGGTTTAGATCTGAATGCTAACCTCCCCTCGTCACTCTCTGGTATGACCTAATTGTTCCTTTTGAAGTTTGGTAATGATCAATAGAGCAACAGGAGAAAAACATGGGCAGTCAAATCCAAACATTGACCTCCCCCATGTTACTCCTAGATGGCCCTTAAAGTATGTTTGGTTACAGTTGGTTCGACAGTATGCCAATTATAAGTGGACGCACATACACAGACTTTTGTTAAAAGTGGTTTAGATTATGATTGGTGGTTCAACTTGTAAAACAAATATGTGAATTCTAAAGCCTTCAAAATTAACAAAGTATTTAATATGTTGAAAATGTACTATAATTACTAGTTTTATTATTCTGGGGTTTGTTATCCAACAAACAAATACACATCAGAGAAACTGTGTCCAAGTTTCCATTGTAAAAGTTTACTCTGAATTTGCACTTGTGCCAGTAAAATCAATGTTGTACTTGCATTATTTATTGAGATTGAATATCATTTGTGGTTGTGGTTATTAGCCTAACTCTTACACTTTGAAGGGCATATAGGTTATTAACTATCATAGTGAAACACTATTTGTAAGATTTGGTAAAAGCAAGATACATGTGTAATTTGTGGTGGCCTTTCTGTTTATTAATGATCATTTGACTTTCAGTGCAGTCAAATGCTTTTGCAGAATCTTCTTATGAAAGTTTTGTTATGATCATCATAAAACTATGTTGAGAGGTTGGTAATAGTTTATAGATAATTCCAGTCTAGTCCTGTGTAGAATCTTCTTATGAAAGCTTTGTTATGATCATCATAAAACCATGTTGAGGTTGGTAACAGTTTATAGATAATTCCAGTCTAGTCCTGTGTAGAATCTTCTTATGTAAGTTTTGTTATGATCATCATAAAACCATGTTGAGAGGTTGGTAACAGTTTATAGATAATTCCAGTCTAGTCCTGTGTAGAATCTTCTTATGTAAGTTTTGTTATGATCATCATAAAACCATGTTGAGAGGTTGGTAATAGTTTATAGATAATTCCAGTCTAGTCCTGTGTAGAATCTTCTTATGAAAGCTTTGTTATGATCATCATAAAACCATGTTGAGAGGTTGGTAATAGTTTATAGATAATTCCAGTCTAGTCCTGTGTAGAATTCACTCATGAAAGTTTATGATCCCCCCCCCCCCCATAAAAACGTTGTGAGAGTTGGTTGTAGGTTACAGATAACTCTGAAGTAGTTTTATTGGCAAAGTTATGTCTAATAGAATGGCTTTCTTGGTGATTTTGTACTGTTTATTATCTTATCAAATTTGTGAAATAAGTGTATGGGTGGGAATGGTTATATATGTAATACATATTTTGGGATTGGTGTTTTTGGTACATTTATCTAAAAACTATGAGGTTTTAAAATTAGGTTTAAACACACACACACACATAGTATTAAAATGTTGTAATTGATCTATAAGTTGTAATTGATCTATAAATGGGAAATTTAGTTTCATTTATATCTTGTGTGTTATAGTAGATTGCATATGTAATTTCTTTGGTTGAAAAGAGTACCTTTTATTAAGATACATTTAATGGGAAAAAAAGGTTTTACTGTTGATTGTTTCAAGTATACCAGTCACGGAGCATTCTTGTTTTTTTTCTTTAAAGTGTGAAGTCTCCCAATCACCATGTCAGGACCATTGTGTGTTAATGTTTATGCTACTAGCGCAACGACTGAAAATCTGAGTCGTCATGAAATGCTTAGTTGGGTTAACGACTGTCTACAGACTCAGTATAGCAAGATTGAGGAATTATGCACAGGTAAATATATCTTTAACTGTAAGTTTAATCATGTGCTCTACATTCCAGATTTCTCTGTAAAAAGTAGAGCTGAGTAATTATTAGAATATGCTAATTGATTAATGATAGGCTCATAGACTTGGATAGTTTGAATGATGAAAAACATTAATAATCAAAAATGCTAATTTTAATTATGTGATTATTTTACATGACATTGATTGATGTAATTGATGCTTGGTAATCGACTGAACCAGTTAACTGAGTAAATTACCCAGCTCTCATAGATAGCCATTTATTTAAAATATACATATAAAATATACGTGATTTTAATGTTTTTTCATTATTTTTATTTTGTGTAGAATTAGCAGATTTTAATGTGTATTTTTGAAATACCGACATTTAACAATATTTTACACATGTTTTTAAAATCTTTAAAACCTGTAATGCACTTTTTTGTATTATACTCTTTGTATCTTACATGATTTATAATTTTCTAAAGTGAAAGTTAGCATTTCTGTAATCAAAATCCTGTTTTTTTTTATAATAAATGGTGTTCATATTGCTATTTTACTAAACCTTTAAAGAAAGATAGTACTTGACAAATTCGGGGGAACAAAGTGTCTGTCTGTGCATGTGTCGACGAAATATAAACATTTAATAGTGACAAAGTTGCAGAATTATAGTAAACATAACAAAGCTTATTTCCAAATAGAATTTAAGTAATAAATAATCTATTTTGTGGTTTTGGTGTTTCATTGATAGCTGTCAATAACAATCAGTCTTTCAGGGATTACTATCAGGATAATTGGCAAGACCAATAAGAATATAAGATGAAAATGACATTCACGATATGACATTCTATGGCTTATAATGTACTAGTATATAGCTATCAAAAATGATGGGGCAAGTACTACCACCCCTACCCTTTAGTATACCCTAACCTCACCTTAGCTATGAAAGGTGAGGACAGTATACCCTAACCTCAAATAAATACATTTTGTGAAACCAAGCTTGACTAACGAAGAGGCAGAAAAGTGTAGTCGAGGCAGTCAAACCTTGGTAAATTCTTTTGTGAGCCAATCAAAATTAAGAAAATTATTGGTAAAAATCAGTTATGTTAACAACTTCTAATAAAAAGAAAGGCCAGTGTGTTTTGGTCACACTATATTCCAACAATGACTTTTTTGTCATGTTGCTTAGCAACAAAACTGTAACCTAATACTGTTGTTAGTATAAAATGAAAAATATAGACAACAAAACTGGGAAAATATTTGTTGATTTCTTAATTTAGAGTCTCCATTGATTAAAGAGTTTTTTTTTATTATTAAAAACGTTGGTGATATAACAGAAAATAGCTTAATTCAGAAACAATTTAGGTTTAAAATTGAATCAATATTCTTACTTTCATGATAAATTTTATGCACTTGGTTCTATTGTTTATTTTAGTTTGCTTTTCTTTTTCAAGATAAGTAATTGGAGTCAATTATAGTCTTAAAGTTTATGAGCTCAAAAATCAGTTACCTTTACTTTTTGGAGAGTGTGTCCTCTGTGTGACTTATGTTACTGAGAAAAGGGGAAGAGTACATAACACAAGTGTACTGAGAAGGTCATGAATTAATTGCTTCTTGTTTTCTTATTTTTATTGAAGTGTTTTTCACACATTAAGCAGACTTACAGACTGTAGGAGTTGTGTGTATTTTATTGATTTTGGTTAAAAAACTGGAATAATCATACATGTGAATGAAATAAACAGTTTTACTAGGATAATGGGCAAAATAGTAATGAGTATTTGAGTTTTGACTAACCCTTAATATGTTTAGGTTTTTTTTAATGGATTACGGTATTAAGCTTCGAAAATTTGTGTTTTCCCCATCAGGTGCTGCTTACTGCCAGTTTATGGACATGTTATTTCCTGGTAATGTATATATCTCTTATATGATTTCATTATTAGCTTTTGATATTTGAATAAATATTTTAAAGAATTTTAATGGGAAGTTCAATAATTTCTGTATGATAAATTTATTTAGGCCGCCCTAATATTCAGTTTCTTGGTCAAATCACCCACCAGAAAAGACCGACCCCCCTCAACTAGAGTGTTGTCTTGTTATTTTAAATGGGAATTACATAATAATTCCAAAACATGTGTATGAAATATATTTAGTAAAAAAAAATTTAAACATTAACAATTTTGCCAAGTAACTGCTTGTTTATTTTCCAAATGAAATTTGTATACACTTAACTCTTTACAAGGGCTTGGTTGAATTGACTGACCACGTGACCACTTTGTACTCATTTAAAGTTGATATATTTTTGATACTATTTACTTTTAACATAGTATGTGTATTTTCACAAAATTTGACAGACTTTTAGTAAACATCCCAAGTCTTTTACATACAAAACATCAGATGTTTTAGTGAAGTATTTTTAATAAATTAAAAAAAATGTCTATGAATGTTTTGAGTATTTTTTTTACTAGTCCAAGTGCAAAGTGATTTACATGCTCAGATTAAAAATACTTTTCTTCATCTCAAATTTCATTTACATAGTCTCTAAACCCTCCTAAATATATTACAAACATTTATTTTCAGTAAAACTGTAAATTTTATCTGTTATTTTCTCTACCTGAGCTCTATACAAGGTTGGTCAATTTAACTGACCTCGTAACCACCGAAAAAAAAAAAAATCAGAATAAATCTAAGTAACTTTAAACTTGTAACAGTATACATCTGTTTATACTTAAATTTTATTGTTTTATTACCCTATATAACTTTAAAATACTTGAGGAATATGGAGCTAATGTTATACTTTTGAATTGCATTACCTATTAGTTACTTCAAGCTGTTTATGTGCGTTCCTCATGAAACATTTTTAATAAATAGTTTTGTTTTGATTGTTACTTTTATCAGCTGTCATAGCTGGATCAATGAAAAGGTAGAGCAAACAGTTACCTATGAGTCTACTGTGTCAAGAGATCCACAGTGTTTTGTTTTTTAATAGTATTTCTTGATGATTTAAGTTAATTTTAGGGTTTTAAAAGCAGTACTGTTGGTAAGCAGTTGAGTGATGAGTAAAGTCTTGGTGACAAAATAAGAAGATGGCTTGTAGAGAAAGTATTTCGCAGAACTTAAGAACTGTGGTCTTAATCTAACCCTGGTGGCTGTACAGATATTTATCTCAATCTGTCCTGTATATAGCATGGAAACATAACATAAACTGTTTTTTTGTTTTCAAGAAAAATAATTTTTGTTGCTGATTTAATACGACTGTACTATAACTGTATAACACTAATGTTGGGTGTATGACACTGATAAGAAGTTATATTTTCTTAATCTTAAGTGTGTTTTTTTTTGTAAATTTCATCTAATCAAAAACATTTTCTTTGTATACACAACAAACAAGTTGAAAAGTTTGTGAAGTGATTAAAATTACAATGATAAAATATCGTGTTGAGTGAGTGTCTTATGACTGAGTTTTTGGTGATAATAGACTATCTTCTAAGACGATTTGAGGATTAACATATTGTGGATGTAACACACGTTAATTTTATATCTTGGCAAGTGTGTAATAATCATGTGTAAGAGAAGTCAGAGGGTTAGAGTGAACAAAGATACGTGTAAACAGTAGGGAAAGATAAACAATGTTGATAGTAGATAGAAATTGATAAAGATGTACTTCAATGTGAGACTTGTATTAACCATGTGTGTGTATGGGTGGGGTCAAAGTGCATGTTGATGTTTTACAGAGTTACATTCCAAATTTAAAAAGTTTAGTTATCAATTTACGTCAATAAACTTGGCATCAAATCATTGTTAATAAACCAAGTTTTAGTTTCCATAATTGGAAAAGGAAAATATTTAAATAAATTCTCAATCTTCACTTCCATGTATCACTTGACACTTGTTTTTTTAACTTGTCCATTTAAACATTTTTTCTGTCCTAGTTGAGTTGCTGAATTTTAATACAAATTACAGACTTGTAGACATTGCTCAGACTAATTTTATAGCTTTCAGTTGTCCGGATTTACAAAAATATAAATCAGAAAGTCAAACCAACATGCTAATCCCTCCATCGCGTACTGTCTTTCAAAAAATGTCAGTAATTCTCTCTCTCTCTCTTACATTTGCTATTAAAGTATTTTATAACCAGTAGAAAGATAATATTTTTAACTTACTGAACTGGTTCATTCTGATGGCAGCTTTTGAATTGTTCAACCTACAGATTCAAAGGTGCTAATGCCAAGTTCACCTTGAACATAGTAAGGGAATTACACTAATGAGCTTATAGCTTAGTTAGAAAACCAGTTAGATTATAATAGTTATAGAACATTAGGTATAAATTCTCCACTTGTATTAAATGAGAAATATTTATTTTATAACTTTTGATATCCTCTGACTTTTTCCACTCACAATATCAGCTTTGTATTTCTTTTCAATTTTTCCTTCCCCCTTCTCTTTCACTTCTTCACTTGTAGCTTCCTTAAAACAATTGATTTGCCATTATTCTTACATCACACTTCGTGTTCCTCATGTTTTTTCATGATATTTGAATGTACTCTGTATATTTGGCTTTATCAAACATCACCTGAAGAAGGATTTAGGCCTGAAATACTATGTCAAATTAGTTTTTCTAGATTTTATTTCCATTGTATCTAATGTTTCTTTCTTTTTTTAAACTTAATCAGAATACGAGTTGGACTGACTAACTTAAGTTCAGATAAGTTTATGAATTTGTATGTGTAGAACATGCTTGTAATGTTTACTAAAAACTTACCAAAGTTTGTGAAGATATGTTAAACTACTTCAGAGTTATAGAATTTATAGTAAACATTAATTCCCATTATGGCTTTAGTCCAACAGACTGACCTGTTGCATGTAGGGTTGATAAGACAGGCCTGCGATGCTTTTATCATCTTGAAATTTTTCCATGTTCTATAGTAATTCCTGTATGCTAAATACGAAAATGATATCCATTTTTCTCCATCATGTACAGATTTTTCACAAAACATGTATTTTTACATAAGTGAATCATTTTCATTGAAATCAGGTCGCATTTTGTTATGCTTAAAATGTTGACAACCACTGGCTATAGATTTTGTTATACCAATCACGAAGTAAGAATCTTATTGATCATTCTTGAACCCAAACATAATAATAAAAAAAAAATGTTCATTGGTGAACGAAATAATAATTTGTTCTAAGTAAAAGTTTTTTTTTCTTCCCGATTTATAAAAAAATCCTTACGTGATGGAAAATCTGTTATTAAAACCAAAACAATTTTTATGAAGTTTAAATTCGCAGGCCTGTGTTATTGTTCTTTGTAATTCAAGTTTCAAGGTCTCTCTGAGAACTAAGTTGAATGAGGTCATGTATGACATTTACTGATTAAAGTGAATAAAGCAGACCCTCTTTCATTGATTCTTCCTAGAAGTAAAATTTGGTGATATTTGAAGGTTTAGCACGTGTTTGTTTAGTAGATTTCTGATTTTGATATAGTCTATCCTTTTAGGCTGTGTACCACTAAAGAGAGTCAGGTTCAAAACTAATCTTGAACATGAATATATAAACAACTTCAAAATCCTTCAAGCAGCTTTTAAAAAAGTTGGAGCAGACAAGGTAAGCCTACATATGTCTTTCTGTGCTTGTTTGTTAGATAAATAGTCATAACACACGCTGCGTAAAGGACTTCTGTGGATCTAATTAATTTATGTAGTACGTCTATAGTGAGACGGAGAAACCCTACATCTCTTTTGTAGTACGTGTTTGTCACGGGTTCCACTAATTTAGGCCTTGACAAATTCCAGATGTCAGGTCGCCATGGCGGCTAAAAATTCGTTCATGGCACCTAGTATTTTCTCCCATTTTATTTGTGCATAAGGCTGTGCTAAATAGAACTTGAATGTACAATGGTTCTGGACTCTTGGAAGTCCAGAACTATTTTCACATTCTGCGAGTCCTAAATCAAACTTTGTTTCTAAGGTTTTAATGGCAGGTTCAACACTTCATGTTTTTTCAGCACTGCGGTTACACAGAAAGTTACTAATTTTGTGCCATTTTGTTTTTCTTCTTTCTCTCAATTTAACCAATCAGTGTACATTTATAGCATCCAAATAGCCCTAGACATCAAGATCTGTTTATCACGGCTACATCAGCATCAGTAAAGGGATATTATTTAACTTTATGTACATGGAAGCATAATTTAGGAATGACACTTTTAAAACTTCTTTTAAGAAATATTTGAAATTATTATTTGAATGCTGAACTATTTTTCTGAATATTCTGTGATTATTAAATTGTGAGTTCAGGTAGTAACCAAACGAAACAGAAATGAGATAATTTGTTAAAATCAGAACAATATTATTGTGTAATGTAATAATAATATTGTATTTATTTTAAACTTTTTCTTTTATAGCGTACTTGTTTCACTTATGAGACTAAACATTCTTAATATACCAAGCTACAATTTTTTTTATTAATATCTAGTTTTTAAAGATTACTTCTGTTCTAAATAGCACTATTTCTTAGATCAAAATATTCATCTTGGAAGACTTCAACGATCTCTTAAAATTTGCATATCTTATTTTCTTTTTAGAGGGGCTAATTTATAATCCTAATCTTTAGATTGTACCTGTTGATAAACTAATCAAAGGGAGATTTCAAGACAACTTTGAGTTCCTTCAGTGGTTTAAAAAGTTTTTTGATGCAAACTATGATGGGCGAGAATATAACGCTTTTGAAGCTAGAGGTGGTGTACAAGTTTGTAGTCCAAAAGGTGGAAAAGCTATAGGAGGTGGAGGAATGACTAAACCTGTTGGGAGAGCAGGTAGGATCCATAAAAAATCTCTACTGTTGGTAGGAGATCAGTCACATTTAGTGTGTGATTCATTTTAAATTGCTGAGATGTATTAGATGTAAGATATATTTAAATAATTGTGGTGAAAGTAGAGTTTAATTGTATATAAAGAAAAAAAAAAACTTGGTTTAGTATCACGTAACAAAAGTGAGGCTTAGCATAATAATCTGAAAATACGAACACATGGTTAAAATGTCCCAGTGAAGTTCATTTAACTAAGATAAAATATTTACCACTGCTTTGTATTTCTAAATATTTATAAGGTGATTTCAGTTTTTCGATATTTTACAGAAACTTTTGTAAGAAAAACTGATCGTACTACAATAATGAATTTTTGCAAAGTTGGTAAACAAAGATTAAATAAAACGTCCTTTAGGTGATATTGAGTCTGGATAAAATCATTCCATTTTTGATAATTAAACATTAGTGTAGGTTCTCTTGCGACAAGGAGAAATGTTTATTGTTTTGGTGATTATTTAGTTTAGTTTTTAAATTCATATTGTTTTATGTTTGGATATATTTGATATTTATAATTCAGTGTTATACAATAAATTGCTTTACTCGCTGCTAGTCTATAAGTCATATGACAGGTTATTAAAAAGGAAAAGCTTTGTTTCCAGTGTTTAAAATACTTAAGATTTGTTAATCTGAAGTGCATCTGGTACTGTCGTATCAGAATTTTAACTGTGTTTTCAGCTTTTTCAAAAATGATGTACTTACAAGATGAAGACTTACGAGACTTCACAAGTAATTTTAAAGTTACGAACTCCGAAGTCACTTTGTTAGGTCTTGATAATAATTATTTAATTTTTTTATATTATTTAAAAAAAATATACTGTGATGTCAATCCTGGTAAACAAACATTGTGCATTTATTGGAATGTTCGAGTAGCTTTATTTTTCTATGTCTAATGATTGTATAAACTTTCTTCTTCCTGATGTAAAAGTTGATGCTGAATGATGAAGAGAGAAATTTAGTTTGGTAGCCTGGTTGTCAGTTGGTTATATTCTAAACCACTATTTCTCAACTACCAGAATACAGACCAACATTGGTTCATTACAGTCACCTTGCTGTTATTTGAGATTTCACAAAAACAGACAAAATATTTGTATATAAATTGTAATGTTTTTCACTGTTATTGTATTTTAGTGATTCGTAATAGTTTAGGGAGGCAGTTAGCTTGTCTCTGGTATTGAATAGGTTGATAAATGCTAGTCTAAAATGTATAATATTCAGTCTGTAAACACATGATGAAAGAGTTTGTATTTCAGATTGCTCATTGCTAAGGATTTTAGAAAAAGATACCATAGTATGTCTCGAGTTGATTTTTCAGTTAAAATACAATTAGGAGAACATTTAATTGAAAACAAGTAAGCTATCTATATACCTAGTGCTGATGGAAGTATAATACGACTGTTTGATATTATTCATGTATATTTTTTTTTTTATCTGTTATCGCAGTAAAATACCGAGAATAAATGAAATATATTTACCTCATTTCTTTGTTGAGATTAGATTATTAGGAGTTTAAATTTATTTGGTGTACTAGATGCTGGGTTAAACAGGAGTTGTTTCTTATTTGATTAATTTCAGCACCAACACAAAGAGTCAAGACAACCCCCCCAAAACCTGCTGCAGTAGGAAATAGAATAACCAGCTCAGGGGACACGCACAAAGTAGAGGAGTTGTCCAATCAGGTACAAATGTATGAATATAACTTAATCCTAGGTAAAATGGATTTCTTCAGTTTCAATTGGGTCAGTTTCCAGTAACGAGATAAAAAACCTCATTTACTATACATGCAATGTTGAGTACCTGTGTTACACTATGAAGTTTTTATGCAGTAAAAAAAATTAAACTTTATTTTTAGCAATTCCCGATATGTAAATGTTTTAGAGACTTTGCTTCTGTTCTTTCTCATCGATCTTCTGGGTATTTTGACATAAATAGGCAAATTTTGTTTGCCTCTACCAAATTGTGATTAAAATAATCCACAAAAATGTATTTTTCAGAAGTATAAAATGATCACGTATTACAAAGTGTGAAGTAGGTCTAAGGTCATTTAATCAACTTACACATACTGGCAATATTGTTTTATATCCATTTGGAAGACATTCCAGCTTGTCATTAGAAACCTGAAGTAGAATTGTCTAGATTAAAGAATATGATGTATGATAGTTTGTGTGAAAGCCTTTCTGTTACCATGCGTAGGTAAACAAACTAGCAGATCCTGGTACAAAAAGAAACCTGAAGTAGAATTGTCTAGATTAAAGAATATGATGTATGATAGTTTGTGTGAAAGCCTTTCTGTTACCATGCGTACGTAAACAAACTAGCAGATCCTGGTACAAAAAAAAGGGAGTTCGAGTTGGTAAAAATGTTTTTTTTCTTCTTCTTTAAATGGATATTTCAAAATCTGAAGTTCCGAAGATTTTGTGTTTCTAGATGTAGGTACAGGAGACTTGAAATTTTTGCAACAAGTAGTTACAAAGACATGTTCTGAAGATAATCTTATATGATTCTAAGGATTTATATTCTTGGAAAATATCTGTAGTCAATGTGGCAACATGCTAGTGGGGTGTTTAGACAGGAAAAAATTAATATAATTTTAAGTAGGTGTGGATGTGTTCGGTGGTAGTTAATTTTAGTGGGGTGTTTAGACAGGAAAAAATTAATATAATTTTAAGTAGGTGTGGATGTGTTCGGTGGTAGTTACTTATTTTAGTGGGGTGTTTAGACAGGAAAAAATTAATATAATTTTAAGTAGGTGTGGATGTGTTCGGTGGTAGTTACTTATTTTAATCTGTTCAGGAATTACCTTTCTTCCTCAGGTTGCAGAATTGAAGTTTACAGTGGAAGGCTTGGAAAGGGAGCGAGACTTCTATTACGGAAAACTCCGAGATATTGAACTTATCTGTCAAGAGTCTGAGCAAGATGGAGAAAAACCACTCATTGTAGAAAAAATACTGGAGATACTATATGCTACTGAGGTTAGTTAAGGTAGACTTGGAATATATGTGATAAGGTTGTTTTGTTCCATTGATTATTTTGTATTAATATTTCAAATCTTACTCCATGTACAGACCTGAAAATTTAGATGGTAGTTTTATTGAGAAGGTGGTTGTATGTATACTTACTCTTAATGACGTGATGCTTCTACATTTTAGTGTAATCAGAATTAACCCTGTCTTCGTTGTGTATCTCTGAAGATATACATAGTAATGTTTACTATAATTATGATTTTACTGCATATATATATACTAAAAACAAATATGGCAGGCTTTTAGTGAACATTACAAGTTTGTTGTACTAAAAAAAAGCGATTCCTCAATAATTTTTTTTGCTAAAGATTTGTTATATTTCCTTTGTTAAACCTCCTAAATGTGTATCAAAAGTTTTTTGTAAAACTTTACATTTTATCTCTCGTTTTTTTTTTTTTACCTATGCCCTACCACTAAAATGTAGCAGAATCATAAATGTACAGCGAAACCAAAAGTTTATAATATGAAATAAAATTATCAATGCTTTTATCTTTTTCTCTGAATGCATCATTTTGCTAGATTGTTGATTGTATCTTCATGATGTTTTATTGCCCGTATCTTGTTCAAAAGTAGTGAATCAGAGAGGTGGGTATTTAACCAACTGTGTTAAGCCCTTGCGTGAATTTTACTCGGGTAGTGTAAAAGTCAAGCCACCTTTGTTTTCATTAAATTAGTTATTCATATAAAAATTAAGATATCATTCAGAACACAAAATATATCAGGCACTAGAATAGAATGTTCCAAAACTACTTTAATTTAATTGACGTTCTTACTAAGCTTAGAGCTGAACAACAATGATTATAGACAAGGAATATGAGGCCAGTTACTTACTATGCCCACTGAAAAGGAATAACTGTAATAAGATTTTTCTAGAGATGAAAATACTCATTCTGTTGGTTTTAAAGATAACTATCAAATAAAGAAACTTGGTTTAGATAACTTCCTTGATAAGATGAGAGGAACTTCACTGGTGGACTTGACAAATTTATTAGTATCTCGGCAAGTCAAGAAGTTTAAATTTGATGTTCTTGCCTGTTATTATTTATATTTTGTGTTGATAATTGATGCTACACTATGAAACCCATATAATGAAAGAAAGCAAATCTATGAAGAAGAATTCGGAGCACAAATGCATCATGGGAAACACTGGTGAAGGTTGAGAATTTATCCAAAATTTTCCTTCTGGAATTAAGAACTTATAACTTAATCATACAAATAACTACAATTATAAACTACATTTTATTGAAATGTATTGATAATAAAGTTGTTTAATTAAATTTTGAATGTAAGTAACTGTTTAAAAAAATCTTATGACATGCACTATGACCAAGCCTTGTGTAGGATTAAAGTTTAAACAAAAAAAAAATGCACACCAAATAATTTAGCTGACTCAGTGATAGAAAGATTTACTGTAGTAATAATCAGGTTACTAATAAAAAAATATATTACAAAAAAAATCCACTGTAGTAAATGCTAAATGGTTTTGGTATTCTTGTGTTGCTTTGATATCAAAAATCAATATATACATATATATATATAAAAGAAAAGGTTGAGTTAAAAAGAAATTTCTAGAATGTATGTTTAGTTTACTGTACATTCTAGTGACTGAACTGAATGTGCCTGCTGTCAAGCTGAGAGGATTATTTTTTATTTCTAACAGGAAGGCTTTGCAGTTCCCGAGGAAGGTGTGGAGGATGGAGCAGTGGTTTCACCAAATGATGAAGAGGAATATTAGTGTCATAACAATTCATGTACAGGAAAATTAGTTTGTTTTTTTTGATGAATTTTCTGGTCATCATTTATAGCAGAGATGAATCAAATTAATAACTTTTAACGAACCACGTGTATAGGTAAATTTAATTGCACTTTAGTTATTGTCTGCTGTTTGGGAATGTGTTGCCTTTGAAATTATTGCAATCTTTGTGTAACCACATGCAAATGTTGCTCTAGGGAATGCTAGCATAATTTATACATTTATATTCACTTCACCATCCTTTGCTTCATTGTCTACAAGTTAACCCTTTTTTTCACTTTAAAGTGCTCCTGCCTCTTTTGACTAACATAATTAATACATGGGAGCGTGTATTCGTCCTTGGATTGTTTGAGTGTTGGCAGATGTGTGGTACATCTGTTTCTAATTTCCAGTAGCACCTTTCTGAAAGGATTCCTGCAAGCAAAACGTCAACACCACCTGCCAAATAATATTTCTAATCACAATAGAAAATCAATATTAAGAATAGTATCTTCTCTTCATGTCCACAAAAAATGTTTCTTTGCTGAATAGATGTCACTGTTACAAGAAGGCTCCCGTAGCAAAGGTGAAACCAAACTATTAGTTTTGTTAACATGTCTAAGTCATTCTGTTAAGACACACTCTCTTCTTGCAAATGTTTCAAACATTTCGATCTCACACCGTGAAAAAGTTTTATTATTGGAAACTAATGCTGGGATTGATTGAAAATATTTTAAAAAGTTGCTAAGTATATTCTCACCTGAGTTGAAAACATCGGCCATGTATATTAAGAGATTTTGTGTCATTGAAAACATAAAATCTTTTTTCATCTGATAGACCAAATTCTAATAAAAAAAAGCTATTTTCTATTTTATAAAACCTTTTAAAAACAGAATAAGTTTTAATACCGTTATTATTTATAAATGAACATTTTAATAAACAGAAAAAGCATTAATGGTAATTTTCATTTTTGGTGAGAAAAAGCCTAGAATTTCTAGTTGAAATAGATCTTATTTTTTTGCAAGTTTTTTTATCTTTCATTAAAAAAAAAATTCTACTGTATTATTATGTGAAGGTTTCAATAAATTTTTTGTAAACTTGTTTGCGTAAGTGCACTTTCTCATTTATATCATATTTTTATTGGTGTTTGTTTTCTTAAAAAAAAAAGAATTGATCTCAGTATTAAATGATTAGTTTTTATTCAGAAAATACTCATTCTGCTTACTGATAACTGGAATTAGGTGTAAGAAGTTATTACAGCTACTGTGACTTCTAAATAATTGGAATAGATGATGAGTTAATGTAAATATTCATTGAAGTTAATAACTCGTACTAAATTAGTGTTTCTTTTTGGCACTTGAATTTCCTGGAGTATAATGTACAAAAGTGGATTTGTAAGTATCCATCATGTTCCTCATGTGTATTTATAAAATCAGGTGCTGGTTGAATGATGACCAGATGTATTTAGATTTTTTTAACAACACTAATTTGTGGTGAACCAATGTTACTTTCAAATAACAATGTGCTTGGACTAAGGCTGAGAAAAGGCCCTAAAGAAATTACAAAACATTTTACTTTTAAGAGAGCATGACAAATAAACATGAAATGCAAATTTTAAAGTTACTTAACTCTTTTTATTATAATTACAAAATTAACCATATAGTATATATATAACACAGGATTGTTTTTTGCTACATAAACCGTATAGAATATATAACACATGAAAGTATATTGTGCACTGTTACAAACGCACAACATAGTCTTATTTTTTGAGTACTGTACAATGCTCACTTCCCCTAGTGGAAATACAAAGACAATCCCAGTATCACATATGTATCCAGTAGTGCTTCCAAGTTGGTTACTTATCCAAAAGTGGTTAAATTTATAATATTGTTCTTAACTTGCATGCTGACAAGTGAAATTCTAAATTGTCATTCAGAACAATTATATTTTTTTGACTTTTCTTTGATCTTTGCCGATTGAGATATAATTATTTTTAGTATTTAAAAATATAAGACTATATACATACATATTACTTGTCTATATATTTTGTAAACTTTGTATTATGTAGAAAATACCTATTTCTTAATTCCTGTTTCATTCCAACAAACAATAAGGCAAAACTTATATAACATCTTTATAAAAAATATCCAGGAAAAACATTTTAATAGAAAAATATTTAATTCACAACTGATATTTATATTAAAATGAGTACTTACAAAGAAGGGCTACAATGTTATTTGAATAACATTGACGTGAATAAAACCTTGTACTCAACAGGATAGTTGTCGAGTCTTATTTGAAATATACTTACTTTAGTTACTAACAAAATGTCATAGTTTATAGTATCTACCAAAGACTGGAGAAGTACGATTCCTTTTAAGTTAACAGATGAAAAGACGTGTTGCACTTTAATGCTTTTTGTTAAGAATGTCCTTGCAAAGTTACACCTGGTTTATTTACCCTATTTTTGAATTGACAGACTAGAGGGAAGGTAGTTGGTCAACATCACTCCCCAGCAACTGTTTTGTAGAATCTGACTATTACTCTTATAGTGCACTCATTAGTCCCAAAGTAAGGTGAGTATTTTTGTTGCAGTGAAACCAGGAAAAGCCTGGCCAATATCATTATTATTAACCAGCACCAATTACTGTGGAAATGGACACAGATAAGAAACTATCTTTTTATTGGTAAAAGTAAACTTAAATATTATCCAATAAAATAAAGTGAAAGTTAAACAAGTATATATTACAAACCATGTAAATAAAAGTATTCCATTTTTATTCTAAATTATTTATCAGCATAATGAGATTATATAACAGTAACATTCCTTTACTTTCATAGCTAGAGTAAAAGAAATGGGAAGTTTGAGTTTTGACTCTTGAGGAAGTTAAAATAATATTCTGTACACACTCAAAACCATCTATAATTTTACTTCCTACCTTATCACATAAATACCAGTCCAAATTAATGTCTGTAAACAAACGGGTGGAATAAAATTGGTACATAGTTATAGAGTTTTTATTAGACGTGGAGACAAAGACTTTAGTCACTAAAATACCTATCTTATTATTAATCAACCCCACTCATTTGGCTGATTAATCAAAAATTATTATTTTAAACATGTTGAATTATTGAAATAAATAAAGACCATCTTTTAACCTGAAAGGTATCACATGTATACCACAAAGTTCACACTTGTTAACCTGAAAAAGTATCATCCATAAAGGTATACCACAAGGTTCACACCTGTTAACCTGAAAGGTATCATCCATAAAGGTATACCACAAGGTTCACACTTGTTAACCTGAAAGGTATACCACAAAGTTTAAGAAATAGTTTTCTCACATAGATGTTAGAAAATATATTCCAAAAATATTTTTGAATAAAAATTTTTGAAATAATTAACCATGTAAAGGTAATAGAAAAATATGCTATATAATTACCTACTTGATCATGAAGTCAGTATAAATAATATTCTTAACACAATGGTGAAGAAGCCACAATGGATAATCCTGTATTATATTAAGAAATTAATAAACTCAAACAGTGATAGTTTTATTTCAAACCTCCAACACTGATCTGACTTCTTTTTTTTTTTTTAAATCAATGTTGGGTGATGGGTTTGTGTGTGTAAGTTGTTAATTATATTCAGATGAAACTGAATCAAAAGCCAAAACTGGAGTAGGTTGTGTTTCTGTGAGAATAAACCTTTTCTCAAAATTTGGCCAATTCATAAAGTTTTTTACTACTGGGCAATATAATGACATTCAATAACTTGCCTATTAAATGAAACAGACTGAGAATATCACCCAGTCTTACTTTTATTATGCAAAGTCTTCTGAACTACACTTACCCATATACACTAATTGGTTCCTTTCTACAACCTTTCGTACCAGTTTAAGCCATATACATGTTAACTTTTTTGTTTAAAATTGTGCAAAGCTACACAAGGGCTTTCTCTACTGGCCACCCTTAATTTTAAAATGACACATCAGAGGGAAGACAACTAGTCATCACCACCTACTGCCAACTCTTGGGCTACTCTTTTACCAATAATAATGGTATCTGAACCCATGACTCACAGATTGAAGGTCTTTGAAAACTTAATTTTTGGTGAGAAAATTTTCAGTTAAAATCAAAGTTTTAAAATCATTTTGCAGTGTCTTGTCCTGAAAACACAATAAGTTCATTAAAAGTTAGGTAAGTCTTTCTTATACAACGTACAATGTAATATCTCTAGCGTAAATCCAGCCAATAAGCTCTTACTGAAGAATCTAGGAATAAATAAAATCATGGAGTAGAAAGTTCAGTAAAAAAAAAAACGAATATTTTAACAGTATATTCCACTCTGATTAACAGTCGTGCACCTATTAGTGCTTTATATTACTAATATATTTTTTTGTGCTAATATCAGACTTCCAATAACAAAATCTAAGTAACTTTGACCAAATTTGATGTGTGCTCACTCTAGAAGCATTTCAAATTTCTGTAAGTTTTCATATAAAAAACAACTACTGTGTCATTTTCTAAAAAAGGAGAATATTGATGATTTCTTGGAGCTGGTCGAGGAAGTTTCTGAAATACGTCGCTGGTGTCCATGAACTGCTTTGGGAGTGGCTGGAGATGCTGAGCTATCCACATGTGATATTTTCTCTGTAGAATCTGGTATATCAGTTTCAAATGGGAATGAACTTGGTGTTTTCTGATAATGTCTGTCTGTCCTCCTTTGACATTAAATACAACTTTAAGCAATATATATCATCATCAACAACTACACTATTCATGCTGTACTCTAAAAATGTAAATGTTAAATCATTACAATTACCAATATATTACTTGAACTATTTAGCAAAAAGCATTTTTTTAGACTAAAATAATGTTATAAGTAACATTAAAATATTTAAATCATATCTTAATCATAATATTAACCCAGTTCAATGAGTGAATAAACATACTGATGATGTGAAAAACATTAATAAATATTATTCAAAACAATATTTTAGTTTTTGTCCTTAATATCTCAATTTCTACACTGTTTTTCAACACATACACAATCGTGTGTGTGCTGGGATAACTTTTAATTCATGGCTCACAAGATAACTAAACTGTACAAAAAACATCAGATAATGTGTTCAAATAGCATTTTCTCTTAGTTACTACTAACTATTATAACACCAGGCTTGTGTTCATTTTAATAGATTATTCATGTTTTTGTGATTTTATAAAGTTTAGTTCAACAACTTATTTTTCCAATGAGATGAAGTTAATCATCTTATGTTAGAAAATGAAGGGCAATGGATCGAAAGACTACGTTTCAAACATATGAATATATACTTAGTAAAGCATATAAAATACCTTTTCTAATCTCTGACGTGAATATTTTGTGAAAAGTTTTCTGCAATGCAAACCAAAGACAATAATCACTTTAGTTATGCTTGTTCAGTATTATTACAAGGATAAACTAGCAATACTGCTCAGTGTTACTACCATTAGTATGTATTATCTTGATAAAGGAGTTAGCACAAAGGATCGCATATAAAGCGTAATAAACTTAAAATAAGACCCAAAACTTGAGAGCTTTCGAATAGTTGACTATTCTTTTCATGAACACCCTTTGTTCTCCTAAAGATGAATAGTCAACTATTCGAAAGCCCTCGAGTTTTTGGGTCTTATTTTAAGTATGTATTATCAATGTTTTATGTATACACAATGATGTACTAACGTACTGTAAACCTTAAAGTTTAAACACAGAATTTATCTACACATTATATTCTGACTTCTAATAAAACTAATTTGAAATTCTCTTAAACATACGCTTTGTTTTGGATATCAAGTTGGAATGGTGTTAGAAAAACACGTAGATTCAAAAAGTTTTAGTAGAAATAGATAAAAACCCTACAGTCTGAGTAATTTCGAAAGGTGGACCTTTCTTCTTCAGGGGTAAATAGTTTGTCTCTGAAGAAGAAAGGTCCACATTTTGAAAGCGCTCGGGTTATAGGGTTTTTTATTCATTTCTAAGTTTGAATTATGGTATGGAGGATTTGATGGTAGGTGGCTCTGTTGAGATTCTTGCTTTAACTATATTAAGAAGTTTCAAAAATGTTTCCATAAGGTAGGAAAAGCCATAGTTGAATATCAAGCAATGGAAGAAAGAATATATTCACATTTTACCTTGAACAGAGTACTTTAACATCTCTCAAACAGAAGGTAGGGAGACCAAGTTGGTAACCCAGAAATGATGAAGCATAAGCTGCATGCATATCATATTCAAATATACTGAGTATTTGGAAATGGATATAAAGTGGCTTAAGTTACCTGTAACACCCAGATCTTTATTATCATTTATATTTTTTTTTAATATAAGTGACAAAAAATGAAACCTAAAAAATAAAAGGAAGACAAGCCCATTATTATTTTTTACAATGATTAGATAAAAAGACTGAAGATCATAAATAATAAAAAAAAAAGAGAAAACTGGTAATTGTCATCATTTCTAATAACACTCCTCAATGTTAAAAGAATGCCAAGAGCTACATGTCTAAACCATTATCACGGTTGAGTAGAGCTAAGCAATTTAATTGATTAATGTCACAAAATAATCAACTGATCAAAATTAGTCCTTCTGGTCACAAACAGGTGTAGAGAAAGAACATGTAACCTTAATCTAGCAGGTAGGTAACTGGAATGGTCATTTGGAATCAATTACACAAAATGGGAGAGAAAGTGGAGTGTAGACAAACAATGCAAATCACTCTGACCAGTGATTTTCGTAGGTCAGGAGCCATGAAAAATAAACCTGTAGGTAAAGAGGATACATGACGTATAAGAATCAGGCCAAAAATAGGTGTAGTGAAAGAACATGTAACCTCAATCTACCAGGTTGTAACTGGAATGGTCATTTGAGACCAATTACCCAAAATTATGTGAGAAATCTGGAGATAATCAAATGGTAGTTAATAAGGCTGCTATAAACAATGGCGATTGTGGAAGATGCAAAAACCTCTGTCAAAGAGAGAAGTAAAAAAAATGAGTTATGGTTCACACCACTGATTGAAAAGGATTCAACCTCCTCTCAATACAACATGTATGTAATTACCATTGATAAAAGTGCCTTTTGGACCAAGCAGAAATTGATACAGATACACGTCATCCGTAGAAATTAAATCCCAATGCCGTTTGAAAGACAGCATAACCTCTATGCCAGAAGCTTGAGCTTCTGGATAGCCAGGTGTACCAAATCAGATCATAGTTGCCTCCACAGCGAGAGCTTAAAAAGAAGTGGAAAAATTGGTAACACCGAAAGGGACCGAAGAAGCAGAAACCTGGGTGTAGCAACCAATCTGGTGTTATCAACAAGATCTGACAATAGGTTGGAACAAATCATAATTTGTACCATATGAAGTGGAGAGAAGGTTGAGAGTGGTAATCCCATCATGTCCAGATGGAAAGCATCTATTGCCAAAGCCTAAAGATGAGGTACTGAAGACCAAATTGACAGTAGTTGGGTGACCTAATGAGAGGCCAACCCCCCAATTAAGAGTTGCAAAATGAGAGCCGATGCAACTTAACCTTGCGACCCAACATCTATTCTGTCGGGAGAATCTGTTTGGATTGAGACAATTGACCTACTGCCACAGGCATCACCCGTGGAACATGACAAGCTAGAAGGGTGATAAGACTAGTCCTGAGAAAGGAGGTCTAAAATTCGAAAATAAGAAGCCCTAGACCACACATCTTCTTGATGAGAAACATAAGACACCACAGAATAGTCAGAATGAAATCTAATGATATACCCCTTAAGAACCCCAGACCATGAGGCCTTGCCCGTTGAAGAGCAAGAAAGACAAAAACATTGTGTAGGGAATCCTCATTGTCCGTGCATAGACTCTGGAATTCCTGACCTGTGGTATATACACCCCATCCCTGAAGCAAGGCATTAATGAAGAGAATGAAACTCTGGACGAGGTGGCAGTAGAGGAACCCAAATCATAGTAGTGTACCAACTTAACAACCCCTCGAGATCAAGGAATTATCTCAACTAAAGTAAATGGAGAACCAGTAAACAGATGTGTATGATCCTTGGTTGCTTAAAGACCAATAAAAGGATTGCTCGTGTTCTTGTCCCAAAGGAACGAAGGATTCAAGTGATGCCTACGTTCCCAGAAGAGAAAGAACCATCTGTGCAGTGGGAGAAGGAGAGGTGAGGAAGAGTGTGGCATCCTATTCTATAGCATTGAGCAGGATGGGAAACAGCTGAGCCTGACTGAGAGATGAGATGAAAAATAAAAAATACTCAGACTGATGACATACTAAATTGGAGCAAGAATAGATATCACAGTCCTGAAAGGAAGCCTGCCTCGGTTGTATCTGAAAGTAGAATCATGATGTGACGGTCTAACAGTTGATGAGATGGTGACAGCAGTAACCAGTCTTTGTGAAATGGTGTGCATGCAGTACAGTGGAATGAAAGAGATGAGAAAAAACTTGTATGATATGACATAACCCATGTGAAGCCTATGCAAGTCAGAAGGAAGAAACCCAGAATTGCATTACCTGACTCTTGTGCACCACAAATGCCGATAATGGTGGAACTCCATCACTAAGGCAAAGTGCAGATAGGAGCCAACTACAACCAAGTTGGACATCTACAATCCCAGTAAAAAAATTAACACAGATTGAGGAATGAGTAACTTATGAACCTTGGAGAATCTAGACATTGATATAGACAAGGAAGATCGATGATTGGATACCAATCTCCTGTCTGTATAGGCCCAACAACAGACAGGAATAAAAACTGAAGAACTAGCAAATCCTGATGCATTGTGGGAGATGTAAATCCTGCAGGTTGGGTGGATAATAGTGGGGAAGTTTTGATCTGAACAACCAATTGGGATCCATTACTTGCAGAGCTCCTGGACCAATGGTTAAGGTTACCACACATCCAAAAATTCTTTGAACTGAGCTCCCACAGTCCCTGAAGGTATACAATAATCACCAATGCTGCTGGCAATCAGAT